CTTTAACAATAAAGTCAGCTGTCAGACACAGCATTGTATCTCTCAATACAATGAATATAATTAAGGAGCACTTGGATATTTAGGATTTTATATGCCAACTTTATCATTCATTTAATATAATCAAGCCATTTAATATAACCAGATTTTAAATATAGCCAGCAGTACATGTGAACATCATATATCCCTGCTGATTTATATAGCCTACAAACTCCTATTAGACTTTGAAAATCCAAACTCCATATTTAAAGAATTTTCATCATTACATTGACAGAGATGAATATCTAAATGTCCTGGCAACATGTTAATGTTAAAAAACTGGAGGCAAATAATCCTGACAAGACAGAGATTCTCTGGATTAGCAGAAATGCAGACCAAGGACTTCAGCTCTCCCTAGGGTTGCCAATCCCCAATTGGGGGCAGGGGATCCCTCAGTTTGGAGCCTCTCCCCCCACTTCAGGGCTATCAGACCGGTCCCCATAGGGTATAATTGAGAATCAATCCGTGGGTATCTGGGGCTCTGGGGGGGGTGCTTTTTGAGTTATAGGCACCAAATTTTCAAAATAGCTTCTGGTGCCTCTCCTAAAATAACCCCCCAAATTTCAAAAAAGATTGGACCAGGGGGTCCAATTGTATGAGCTCTGAAAGAAGGTGCCCCCATCCTCTATTATTTCCAATGGAGAGTAAGCATTTAAAAGGAATGTGGTCCCTTTAAACATGACAGCAGCTCACCTGGAACTCACTTCAAAGTTCCCTCTCCTGGAGCCTCCTTCCCCTTTCCCAGAGCCTCTTGGTAAGTCCCCCGCCCACTTGTCAGCATCTCCCTTATCTTGAATACTCACTCCCCTTGAAAAGCCAGGTTCACAGCTTGGGAGTGCTGCTTGACACATCAGTCACCTTAGAAAAACAAATAGATGCTATGGGTCAGAGTGCATTTGCCCAGCTCTGGCTGGTGCATCAGTCAGATCTAGCCACAGTGATCCATGCTAGACTGGACTATTTGGGGCTACCCGTGAAGAGTGTTTGGAAGCTGCAGCTACTGCAGAATGCTGCAGTGAGACTGCTGGTCAGGCCCAGCTATCAGGAGTATATCTTCCCATTACTACAGCAATTACATTTGCTACCAAACTGCTCCCCAGCACAATTCCAGGCATTGGTTGTGCCCTTTAAAGCCCTACATGATTTGGGACTGGGATATATGAAGGACCATCTTCTCCCATACATTCCTGCCAAGGAAGTAAGATCATAGGGAGATACCCTTCTAACAGTCCCACCAATTGAAGCCGTTTGTTTGGTGAGTACACAAGAGAGGGCCTTTTCCATGGCAGCTCTACAAGTATGAACCAATTTCCCCAAGGGAAGTGTGCTGGGACCCTTTATTGTTGCTTTTCAGGAGGCTATTGAAGACAGTTTTATTTAGCAGTGTATTTTGATTGATTTAGCTTTCATTATTGGCAGTCAAGTGGAGTTTTTAAACTGTGACTGTTACGGGTTTTATTATGGCTTTTTAATGTTGTGTTTTTAAGTGTTCTGTTTGTATTGTAAGCTGCCTTGAAGGAGAAAGGTGGCTAATAAATGTTTTAAATAAAATAAATAGTACATCCTTTTATGATTCCCAAATTCATATACCAATATTTTTCAATAGATAATATTTTATATGGTATAGCAATTTCAGAACAAGACCACTGTAGAATAAGTACAGAACAGTCATCAGTGGCATTTTGGTATCCATCATGTTAGTGATAATTAATAATTAATTTTAATTGCATGTAACTAAAATTTCAAATGAACAATTTCATCTGAATCTATTTCTGATGTGACCCTCAGGTGTACCTAGCCGTCTTTCTGGTTAATGTGGGAACAAAAAAAATCTGACATTCTGAACAACAGAAGTTCATAGCATCACAAGTTACCAGTGAACTTTTTCAGCATCCTGAGCATGGGTAAAGGGCCATAAGGTGTTTTTAGAATTAGATATTTAGAAACAAAGAGGGGGGAAAGAGAGGCAGGGCTGTACCTGGGATGCTTCACCTATGTCTCTATACCCTAATCATAGTCCTGATTCTCAGTTTACAGGCTTTACTTAACATATCACATCTTCAGTGTATTTCTGAATATACTGTATTCATGTTAACAGAATCCTGGCAGAAATAGTGGCTGAAACTAGGGTGAGTAAAAAGAAAAATAATTACAAAACAATTTTTCAAATATGGATTTTTAAATTAACCAAACACTCCCTTCCTTACCCTTTCCGAGTGGGTATGAAATAATAGGAGAGACTGATCAGCTGAGTATGGGTAGAGTGCATTTTTATCACAAGTACATTAATAAAGTTTCAGATGACTTACTATCTGAAGTAACTAACACTAACACTAAAGTAATAGAGTGCTTCACATCACAAGAACTTATTCCAGTACATGGTTTCTTTCTTGCAGCTTCAAAACAGGAAGTAGTATTTTTTTGCCACTGACTTTGTGCTGGAAACTTCCACCAGACAGAGTTTGAAAATATATGTCCATGCCTCAGTATTACAGGAGATGATCACAAACTTACATTATTTTTTCACACCTCTCCACTCCTTTTCTGCCCTGCATATAATTATGATGTCTGTTCCTGGCTTTGCAATTTTACCAGGAAGCAGCTTCAGAAACAGCAGGAGATGCCACACCCCAGACAATTCAGTTCTCAGTGTACAGTCCTGTAGATTGTTCATTTTACAGAAATTTTATCCTGGCAATATAGTATCCTCACTAGAGCATTTTTTGTCAAAGCTCACATGGATTGGAAAAGTGTCTGAGTTTGCCCTTTTCAGACATACTCGCAGAATGGGGGCAAATGTTTTATCAACCTTTAGCCAGCAATAACAAATTCATAACTCCCAGTATGTATCTTGTCCTAATTGTCCAAGAAGTGACAGTTTGCTAAATTACTGTAAATAATTCTGATAGAGTAGTTTAGTCCACTTGTAACCAAGGGGAGTTGTAGAGCATTGTCTAGTGTTTAGGGTTTACAAGACGGGGACCCGCGATACTCGCGGGGGGGGAGAGAAGAGCTCCATCTCCTCCATCCCCCCTCGATCTCCCCGAGGAGGAGGCGGCGAGGCCGATCCTCCCCCCCGGCTCCGAGGCGGCGGCGGTGGCAGAGAGGCCGGTCCTCCCCCCCCTTTGCCGGGCTTGGCGGCGGCGAGGCCAGTCCTCCCCCCGCCCGCCCGGC